CGCATCCTTTGAGCCTCTGAGGGAGGTGACGGCTGAGTCCCTCAGGCGGCGCCAGGGGTGGGCTCCGGCTCCCTCTCGTTGAAGTCCAGGGCCGTGTGAACACCCTGTCCTGCTGGTCTCTGAGAGACCCAGGGGCCACTCGCAGGGTCACAGGCCGGCTGTGCTGGTCCCGGCTTCCAGCCGACGTCGCGGGGCCGTGATCACAGGTGGTGGGGTTCGCATTCCAGGGGTGGCCGCCGACAGCCTGGGAGCCCCACGGGGCCAGGGCGGCGGCTGTGGAGGAGGGAGGCTGCGATGCCGCCTCTGATTCCTTGAAAATAAACGCCCACATAAGGCGGGTGTGTGAGATCCTCAGAGGAACACGTGGCTGGAGGCTGGGTGGCCGGGGGGCGGGGGGGGGGCTGGTACACAGCCGTGGAGGCAGCAGGTTCTCGGGGTCCCGGGCAGTTCCCTCCTCCGTGTTGGAAGCGGCAGCTCTCCATCCAGCCTGGTGGCGCCTCTCACCCGATGTGCTGCCATCTAGTGAGCGACTTCCTGGACTAACATCTCGGAAAGGAGAGAACTCCGCCCCGTGAGGACCTCCTTCGTGTCACGGGTTTGCTCTGGTTACAAAAGTGAATTGATTCATTGTAGAAATACTGGAGAAGACAAAAAACTGTAAAGAAGGAACTCAAGATAACCTATAAACTGCATCTCGGAGATCACTGGTTTGGTGTGTGTGGGCCCTGGAATCAGATAAACGTGCATCAGAGTCTGGTTCTGAGAACCGCTGTCTCCCTTCTTCCCAGAACTTGGCCATGGGGCCCCTGGCAACCCCTCTTCCACGTGTAGCTGTCGTTAGCGCTGGTCTCCGGGTGGTGCCGGGCCCCTGGTCGTGAGGCACACTCCCCAGCTCCCCGGCCGATAAGCGGGGCCGTGTGATTAGTTCCGACCAGTGAGTTGTAAGTGGAAGTGACGTGTGTCATTTCCAGGCTGGAGCCGTAAGCTGCCAACGCCAAGTCTCTCTAGAGTTTTCTTCCCTCTGCAAGGATGACAGGCAAGGTGGTGAACCGGTCCTCAGCTGACCCGGGGGAGCCGCGTCACATCAGCAAAAACCCGCCATGCTGTGTGCTCCTGGGCCCTGAGCCTGTTGGGGTTGTCTGTTGTAACAGCGCACCTCGCTCCGCCCTGACTGCGAAGCCAGCTTTCCTAGTCCACATCTACTCTCAGGTTAGGGGCCTCTCAGACGCTACAGCACATCTCCAACTAAGCCCGTCAGCCACTCGCCTCTTACCCATCTCAGCCACCGACACCTCCACCACTGCAGCCGATCAGATCAGAAACACGGCCGCCACTCCCTCCTTCCGCCTCTTCCCGACCACGATATCCAGTCAACCGCCGCTGGCCCGCTCTGTCACTGTAATGTCTCTTGAGCTCGTCCCTTCTCCCAGGACCACTTCTGGGTTAGGATCCCTTCATCTTTCACCATAACAGACCACAGCCCCCGTGGTGGCTCCTTGCTCACAACCACATCCTCCCCAGTTCCCGTCCCACTTTGCAGATGTGGCTGGATGCCTGACTCCCCCTGCCCCAGGGCCGAGGCCAGACTCCTTAAAATGCCATTAGAAACCTAGGTGGGCCACCCTCGCCACCACGGCTTCATGTCTGCCGCCTGCCGCCGACCCTTTGCTTTGTGCTCTGGGCAGACCGTGGTCCAGGCGCCGCCGGCCTGTCCGCTGGCACTAAGTGCCCCAGAGGCTCCAGCCAGGGCCGTGTCACCCTTGAAGACATCACACCCTTTTCCACGTCCCGGCTTCTTCTTCTTTTTTTTTTTTAACTTTTTATTTTTTTAATGTTTTATTTATTTCCAGGAGAGAGAGAGAGACAGTGTGAGCAGCGGAGGGTCAGAGAGAGAGGGAGTCACAGACTGAAACAGGCTCCAGGCTCTGAGTTGGCAGTCAGCACAGAGCCCGACGTGGGGCCCGAACCCACGAACTGCGAGATCATGACCTAAGCGAAAGTCGGACGCTTAACCGACTAAGCCACCCAGGCGCCCCTCCACGTCCCGGCTTCTGAACGTAGCCACTGCTCTGTTGGAAACACTCACGTCTTCTTCCATCCCAAAGCCTGGCCCTCGCCATGTCGGATCCCAGCCTCAGCTCAAATCTCACTCCCTCGTCCACTAGTGGCAGCCCTGGCTTCCTCGGACGTGTTGTGGTGCCTCGGTTTCCCCTTCTCAGAAGTTGGCCCTCATGCAGCCTCTCACGGCTGCGTCCAGGGTGATGTCTGGCACTTACAAAGGACTTGCTATGTCAGCGGAACGCATGCTTGAAAAAGAAAGAGTCCTCGATGGGCACACGTTGGCTCCTGGTCAGCACCCGAAAGTGCCCATTGGCCACGAATCTCTCAGTTAGCTCTGGAATCTGTTCTAGGATTGGCTCCACGTTGGGTCCACACACTGGGTTTTTGGGAGATGGGACCACCCCTCAGCCACAGGTGGCCTTGGCTTTCTGTGCCAGATTTTCCTTCTGTGACATGTGTCTACTTCCTAGGTGGTTTGAAAGGATTAAATAACATAATGCATGTAAACCCCGCTGCAGCCTGTCTGGCCCACGAAAGGGGCCGAGTTGGTTTGCAAACTGGCCCCACCCACAGAGGGCTGAGGGGGGAGGGGGCAGCCCACTCCTGCTGGCAGGTGGCAGATTTAATAAGCCGGGGAATTTACACGCCAGGCTTGTCTCGATGGCCTCACGACCAGTGGGTCTTTGCGTCCACCCTCCAGAATCATAGAAGTTCATAGAGACGCCTTAACTGGGTTCACTGTGCCTGACATCCAGACGGCCTCAGCCTCTGCTTCCTTGAACGTGGCTCTCATCCTGGGGACAGCAAGCACACGTACGAGGACACTTCCGAGGACAGGAAGGGGTGAGGAGGCTTTGACTGTCTAGGTCTGGCTCACTGGCACTGACCTTCCCCAACAGCCTGTTGAATGTCAGCTATCAGTGTTATGGTTACCATCCTGGCACTGAGTGGTGGGCTGGGACTCGCAGAGCTCCGCGGTCCCTTTCAACAGTGACTGAACTTGACCTCAGAGTCGGGGGTCGTGTGCGGGGAGCAAGAGCCCTAGGGAGCGGCTTGTCCTATGGGATTGCACCGCGAGCGAGGCAGCCGTGGGTAAAGAGCGGGATGTGTTCTGGGACTGAGGGCGGGTGGAGGCCGCGGCCGTGGGCAGAGTCCCCGGGCCACGCGGGCCTGGCTGTCCTCCCTGAGTGACAGGGCTTCCGTGCCGCCGAGGCGGCTGAGTGTGGCCAGGCTGCGGCCCGCGGCGCGTCCGGGCTATTTTGGGAACGGTTCCGTAATGGTTTTGCCTCCAGGAGCTCAGGGGAATGTCTCCCTGCCCGCAGTGTGGCCCTGATGTTCCCAGAGACGCTAATTGGAAGTCAAGTGCTCTCTTTCCTGCTGAAGGAAATGTCAGTTTCTAATAATACTCTGCTACGAGGCCACATCAGTCCCAACGCCCCATCGCTGGCCTTCAGGCCTCAGACGCGCCCTCCGCTCGGCCTCGGCACCGCCGCTGTGGGTGTTTCTCCTCTGGGCTGGCCTCCCCGGCTTCGGACTCTGTGGGGTCAGAGGTCTTGCCCTTGAGTGAGGGACCAGCCACCAAGGGCTGTGATGAGAGTTTCACTAGATTTCAAGCTGCCGCCTGGTCCCATTGAGTTGTTTGTGCCACCGGGAAAGGAGTCTCCACCTGGCCAAGGTCACCGCCAAGGTCACCGCCACTGATCATGAGGTCGAGACCGGGCTGCTGTCACCGAAGGGGGACAGGGAAGAAGTATTTGCCGCACAGCCCCCCACCGGCTCCGCTGTAGCCCAATTTCGATGGAAAATGAGCAGGTGTTACAGTCAGAGCCTGAGAAGGGCTCAGACCACAAGGCCACCTGCACGAGACCCCCTGGATCAGAGGACAGGCTCACTCAGAGTGGGGGGGTCTCAAACGCGCAGGGGAGCAGGCAGACAGCGAGGACGGGCTGTGACCCCCAGACACGCTGTGACGGCAAAGCGCGGTTCACCCATCACCGCCTTCCTGTAAGTTCCGGAAGGCGGAGGAGGGTGCTTTCAGAATGTGGAAACGGCGCCGGGTGTGAGCGGTGGGGGGGCCGCGCCGGCGATGGGTCCCCCACATGCAGGGCTGCGGCTCGGCCGCGGGACGGGCCCTTGTCGCCCGCCCGCCTCTCAGGGAGTGTCCGAGGCTAGGCAGCCAGCTTGCCCACAGGCACGGCCCCTCCCGGCACAGCCTGGTGACCGGGGACCTGGGGCTGGAAGATCTGGTCCCCCCGCCAGTTTGGGAAACCTCTCGAGGGACGTCTGAGCTGCGGAGCCTCCCGTAGCACCTGCTGAGGGCGTGTCTCACGTGCCGTTCAACCCTTCCTTCTGCCCGTCGCGCTCCCTTCCTCACCCACGACAGTAGACGACGTTCGTGGGATGACGGTTGTTGGCTGCAAGTCGCTCGGCTTATTCGCGTCTCCGTCTAGTCAGGAGTCATTAGGCTGTCCCCTCTCTATCCACTTACCTAAAGTGCTGAACTCACAAAAGCTCTTTGCACGCCACCCGCCGGCAGGCGCGGGGTGGGCGGGGCCCCCGCAGGTCCCCTCTAGCCGGTCGCCGGGCCCCCTGCGCCCCGCTCCGCACGAGGGCACTCGCATCGGGTGTGCTTCCCCCACTTCCCCACCTTCGCCCTGGAAGCCCCTCCTTCGGAGCAGCGCACCCCGCCTCCGCCCCAGACAGGCTTGTGCGCTCATCTTAATTTGGAAATAATCACCACAAATTGGATTTCTGTTCGGCGCCTCCCACGCTCCCCTATTAGCTCCGCACGTTAACAAATACCAGAACACTCCCGTGAAAATATTTCTTCCTCGGAGGCCGCTGTTCCTTGCTGCGGCCCCCTCTGCTGAGTGCCACCTGACGGGAGCTGACTGGAGACCTAACGATGCTCTTCCTGAAGCCTGTCATGCGTCTGTCAGACACACGGCGAGAAGAGCCAGGATGGAGGCCGAGGCCGCGTGGGGCGGAGCCGAGGCCGCGAGAGGCGGGGCCGAGGCCGCGTGGGGCGGAGCCGAGGCCGCGTGGGGCGGAGCCGAGGCCGCGTGGGGCGGAGCCGCACGCAGACACAGAGAGAGAAGCGCGTCAGCGAGGGACAAGCGCTCACCTTCAGACAGATGCGACTGCAACCCCCAACCGTAGGTCTGAAAGGTGTCACCAGAGATGGAAGTTTCTCGAATCCAAAGCGGGGGCTTCTCCACCCCGGGGAGGCAGCGTGTCTGCCGCAGTCACTGGGACACCTCTATTTGGAGGGGACAGATGGGGATCGGGGGGTGGGAAGCCCGGGAGAAAGGTGGGGAATGTACCTTCCAGATCAGGGATTCTAAGCGGGGGGACTCGTGGCGGTGTCCGGGGACATTCCTGGTTGTCACAGCCTGAGGGGGGAGGGGAGGGGAGGTGCCACTGGCATCTGGAGGGGGGAGGCTGGGGGGCTGCGAAACATCCTTCAGGACACAGGACGTTCCCCCCCACAGGACACAGGATGGCCCCCCCACAGGACACAGGACGGCCCCCCTACAGGACACAGGACGGCCCCCCCCACAGGACACAGGACGGCCCCCCTACAGGACACAGGATGGCCCCCCCCACGG